TATGTATGTTGCTCAGCTATATTGTTCCCTTTAATCTTCTCACTGATAACTTCCATTTCGATTATATCTTTGAGCTCCTTATCTCCTATTTCAATTTCAATAATATTTGGGATCTCAACTGTTGTCATTGTTTGAACTTCCATGGTGATTGCCTTATCTAATGAGCTATATATAGGAAGATTGTTTTCAAGTATTGTCTGACTTGACATAATATTTTGTGAAGAATTTTGTGCTTGTTCAGCTTGTTCTATTATGTTCAAGTATTTATCCTCTAAAAAGGGAGCTAGAAGATCTTCTTATTTTTCTTGTCCTTTGATTCATAGATAACGGATGTGTTGTTTGAGAACGTTGGCTTTAATAAAGGTGATATGATCAATATTCAGAATTCTAACAATGATGCTGTCTATAATTGAGTATTGGGTTGGATCCGAAGTTGGGTTCATGATGACTTCTTGAGTTGATGTAATATTAAGAAGGGTTTGTATAGTCCATAATTTCTATTGTTGAACATATTTGTCTGATAATTGAGCTAAGGTTTCTATAATGTATACTCTCTTTTTTTAGTGATTTGTAAAAGCTTGTGTTTCCTCATAGACATATTTATTATATGATAGGAAGTAAGTTGACTGTGTTTGGTATTATTGTATTTTGCTGATGATTGTTACTATATTTTCCTAGACATGTGTTGCAGGTTTGTTTTTTTTATTATTATTTGGTAATATAAAAAAATCTTGTTGTTTGTTGTGATGTATTGGTAATATTTGTTTCATGTATATGTTGTGATAGTATTGTTGATATTGTTGATCAGTCAATAATAAACACGTAGAATTATAAGGTTGTTAATAATTAATTTGTATAAATACGTAGAGTTATGGGGTTGTTGATAATTGATTTACATAAACACATAAAAAGTGTATTAACATTGTTTATTTGACACGTCTTTAAGCTTGTTGTGAAAAATATATGTGTTTGTATTTGCATGATATAATATTATTGAAATGTCATTGTGATGTGTATGCTTCTTTACTATATAGTCAATGAAGCTTGGATGTTTCTCTAGGTTTTATGAGTATTTGGACTTGGACTGATTTATCGATTTGAGTTATTGCTTGTAAAGCTTCTTTTGGTGTCTAGAAATGTATTAACCTGCACTGGCCTGGCTAGGAGCTTTGTGAAGTTGATGTTGGGCTTCCAAGAGCTTACTGTGAATCAATCTTTCTTGTTGTTTTTCTCTTTCTAAAAGAAAAAATTTATATAGTAGAAGTTAGTAATTTTTATAAAATTTATCTCTTTTGTATTTTGTAAAGAGTTCTTGAACTTGTTTTTATAAGTTGTTTAGTTGTAAAGGTGGTTTATCTTGTTTTTTTTGACTGATTTCTCTTTTTCTTAAAAAATTATCAAAAAAGAAAATTTTTTGAAAATTTGGGGATCAGCGGAAAGAGTTTTTTTTCTCCTTTTTTATTTTTATATAGTACAATTGTATTTTTTTAGATATATTTTTTTCTTTTATTTCCTTCTTTTCCTTTTATAATTTCTTGAAATCAGTTCTTTAAAGGATAATAAGTAGCAGCAATTTATTAGCAATGATATGTAAATTAGGAGGGTATTTATCCAAAATCTACTATAGAGTAAAATATTGTTTTTAAGGTTGCACTCAAAGGCTAAAGCTCTTTTGAAAATTGAAAACTATTGATAAGTGAGTTAACATAAGTTTTAGTTTAGTCATAATGCAATTGCTCTATATATCTCTATTAGTTTTCATATTAATTAATAAACCCACAATGCTAGCTTGACCACAGATTTAAAAAAAAAAAAAATAAATAATCTATATTATATTATAATGTAAAACTTTTTTTACTAATCTTTTAACCATATATAAAAAAGATGTTCACAAAAAGTTTTTTCATTTTTTTGCTAATAAAGTCTTATCACTTTTTATAAAACAACTTGAAATCTGACTTCAAGAATCATCTCTATCTTTCTCTATTGTTTATAAATCTTTTTACTCAAAAATATGACTTTCAGTAGCCAAAAAAAGTCAAGTAATATCTTTGATACTAATGATAAGAAAGAAGAATTGGCTATAAAGTATCTGAAGATCTTTTTAACCTTTGAAGTAAGAAGTTTATAGAGATTTTGTTATAGTTAAAAGACTTATTTTCTTTTTTTTAAACAGTTCTAACCTTTTTAAAACTTCCACTTTCATGGTTTTCTAGAAAATTTTGTTAACCCCAGTTTGACCTTGAATTTTTGATAATAAAATCCTTACTAAAGGTAATTGATTAATATAAAAATATATTAGTTTCTAGAATATAAACAAGCTCCTATTGATTATACTTACATATTTTGATAATATTATTGATGATTATAAAGAATGTTCAAAAAATATTTGTCTCAAAAAGTTCAAGTCCCTTAATGAAAACTTCTATGATATCAAAAGATTAAGTGATAGATAATGTGAATTGCAAACTCCTGTCTTTTATTTAAGTTTCTTAGATAGTAATAAAACTTTAATGAAAAAAGTTAAAATCTAAATACTTTCCTTGAAATATTTCAATTTGATGCTCACTTAAATGAAAAATCAGTTAGATTGACTTGTCCAATATTACAGGTGATAAAAAAAAAAATTTCTTCTGAGGTTCAAGTGAAGCAAGAAGACTATCACAATCAGGCAAATTTCTTTTGAGAAAAGATTGTTTTTATTTTTGGATTTTTTTTAATGAACCTTGAATTGTTTTCTTTTTTCAAATCAATTTTCTTTTTTTTCTTTTTAACTTAACAATTTATTGGTTTTCAGATCAATCAATAGTAACAAACTGTTAATGATGTTCCTGATAAATATACTGTAGATCATTACCAATTTATCAGGGGAGTATAATATTGTTCCCAAAATCTGACTTAGAATACTTATATATAAAAATAAGTTAGTCACTTTGTGAAAGTCTGTAAACTATTATACTACTTATCTGACTTAATTTAATGAATTATTGCAAAATAAATACAGTATATATATATATACTGTATAGTGTATTAAAAATTTTATTTTAACCAATAAATACAAAAAAAAAAAAAATTTATTCAATTTTAGGCTTTTTGGATTTTCTAGAATCTGAATTTGCACTTCTTTTTTGTAACAGCCCTTCTTTTCTAAAGTATTCCTTTCTTTCTTTCTTTTCTTTTTCCGCCAGCATCAATTCTTGCTGTGCAACTTTTTTACCATGTTCGATTCTTTTTATTGCTCGCTTTTCTTTGCGTTTTCTATCCTTTTCCTTCTTTAGTGTTTGTATTTGCTGCATGAAAGCGAATACTTTCTTTTCCTTCGGTTCTAAAACCACCGCACGTTTCTGCAAATATGTGGGTTTTGATCGTTTTTTAAGAAGCTTTGGTTTAGATGCAAACGGCAAGGCCGCTTGTAATGGTGTGGGAATATGAAGTGGGTTGAATCGGCGTGGTGTACGTTCAATTTTCTAGAGTATGTAAATGAAAGAAGTATTATAGTTATTGTAACAGACTTTGTTGAAAAAGATGAAAGTTAACATTTACCCTATACTTAGACTCCGGTTTCATTGGTGTCGCGATTTGCAATTCTCTGCGAATTTGTCCAGTCAAGCGCATTCCTTGCCACTCAGTCTTCGAAGACAATAACAATGATGTAACGGGATTATAATATTTTGGAGGTTTAATAGGGTACCAAGCCCTCAAAAATATTATATCTGCGGGTTAAGCAAGAATTGAGTTAAAGTGTACACTCGCACAAGTGTGTGTCGCAATCCTTTTTTCCAATGGAACTTACCACTCATCAACACTTTATCCTCAAACGTTGCACGAAAGTGTCCCTCCGGTTTCTAGTAATTAACGAAACTCAGCACATGTAGACCTGAAACGTGGGTTCATTAAAACATAACTTACCGATAAAGGTTTTTTAATTTGTCCACGGATACCTGAAACAGTTCTTATTGCTGCTCCTTCGAATTTCGCTACTTCCAAGGCAGAAGTAAACATATCCTTTATAAAGGCAGTGTTTTTGTATATTTTGTATGGAACACCTGTCAGTTTAAGTTTTTTAACAATCTCAACCGAATGATTTATGTCGAGTATTACACCGGTTGCGCTTATACGGAAAGCTGACTATATGAAAAAGATATTAATCGAGGATCGACTGTGACTAAACTCACGTTTCAGTAATCGACTTACAGTATTATCCTCAAATACCGATTGCACCGCACAAAATCCCGTATTAGGTGGGTGAATTGGTCCTAATAAATTAAAGGTGTAGTCCAGTCACATAAAGTATAATTGTCCAGGAGACAATAAATCAACAAAAAGAATTTACTACCATATATGGTTGCTAGGCAATGCATATGTTCGGGAGTGTATTTGAGCATCCTGTTTCGTGTACCATCATTCAGAGAGTAAATTGGTATTGATTGAAATCTTCGCCATCCCAAGGAAAATATGAGTGGATCCTTTGTTTTCAGGATTTTTTTATGCCAACGGTGACGTTTAATCCGCAACTATTTAAACGAATGCAGGACGTGAGAAATATGAAGCCTCATTTTTCACTAAAGTTGACTTTAATGGTATTTGTGTGAAACGTCAATAAGAAGGTGTTACCTGGATAAAACCTAAATTTTCTTCGGTGGTCAACAGACCTCCGACAATAGTTGGATATGTTGGATCAAAGTATTTAACAAATTCGCAGGGCATCCCTTTCAATAAGATTCGAACGTATGATCCAGGACGAAAACCTTCAATCATTGCCCTGGTAAGTGGGTCATCATCCTCAAATTCATCTCGATTAAGTTGTAATTGTTTTGAAATCTCATCTTTCATTTCATCATAGAAATCCATCTTGGGTGCGTCATCTTTATCATCATACTCTGCATCAAATTTTTTCTTTAACATTATTCTTTTCTGGATAAGGGCTTCTTGTTTAAGTTCATCTTCAGATTTTTTTTGCTGCTCTGCTTTAACTTCACCAGTTTCAAGATCTTCGAAATCACCATTAACTTCCTCATCGGAATTTATATTTCCCTCAGGATCATCATCTTCCTGACTTCCTGTGATAAACCGATTCCGAATAGATTCAAGGATCTAATTGTCCGCGCGTGTACAATATAATTTCAAAACTAAATTTCATGACGCTATTTTAGTCACAATACGAAATAAGATTGCTAACCGTTTCGTCGTCCCACTCATCAAGATTGCTTAAATCGAAGCATGATTTGGAAGAGTCGATCGCATTCAAAACTTCTGTGTCATTTGTATCTGATTCCTTAATCTTAAAAAGTTCGTCGTCTTCATTATCATCATCTCCATTAAAGTTTGCTGGAGCAATATTATCTATTTTAGATCTGTAATCTTGAACCATTCTATTTGCATGCATGAGATCAATACGTGAAATCTCCTCCGGAGTTTTCTCACTATCATAAATTAGCTTCATAATGTTTATTCGACGATTAGCGAAAAACATATCCTTGGCTTTGGCGGCTAAGTCTGATTTCCATTTTAATGCACCACCAAGGTCATCTTCATCAACATCCTCGTTGACAAATAAGTCATCCATATCGCTATCACTTTCAGCAAAAGCTATTTCTTCATCGTTAACATCATTTTCCGGATTGTTTATTGAATGCTTATTTAATGCTGCTCTTCTACTGGATGAACCACCGTTACTTTCATCGCTAACATCTCCATCTGAATCTTCCTCACTTGCAACCGTAGAATTGTCATCATTTTCCTCAGATTCTCCTTCAGAATTTATTGAATCATTTTCATTGTCGTATTCATCATTCTCGTTACCATTTGCAAACATTACTCTGCGTCTGGTGCGACCTGATTCGTCATCATTCAGCAATTTTGTTGGTTCTAATAGCATAACATTTTAAGTCAATAATATTAAGAAGTTTGTCAAATGCAATAAATTCTTAAGTCACCTTCATCTTGGCTTTCTTCCACTTCTGTACCTTTTACAGGAACAGAATTAGCGAAAATAGAAATTGAGGTTTCTTTTAATTTTGAAGCAAGGGTCTCTGGTGCATCCTGTAAATCTACTACCATTTTTTCACCAGGGCCTTGCTCAAACTCGTCTTCTATACAATAAATAGAAATTGATTTAGTCTATTCTATCCAATGTTGTATCCCTTTTTGAAGCTAAATAATTCCCTAACCGTCTCCGTTATCACCAGTTCCCTTTGTAAAGCTCCCTGGGACATTGATATAGACAGCATCTTTGTCATACATAATTCCACCAACATCAGACATTGGTGCGTAAATAAGTTTTTGTTTTTCACTTAAACTTCTCCGCACTTTTTCCGGCAATGGACACGGATCCGAAAGAATCGTGATATCCGACAAATTCTGATCACCAACGCCAGGAATATGAACCTTTGACGGAAATGAAAAATAAATTAGTAAATTTTCATCACAGAACGAATGCGTAATCAATAATCGAACCTTCATGTTGGCTTTCATATTTGTTCCACGCAAATATCCATACAAAGTAACTGTTCTGTCGCAAATCGGGTTTTTCCTGACTTCCTCGGGATCGGTTAAATCCTCTACACGATCAGCCACTAGATATGGATGGGTGTTTCTCCAAACTAACGGCCTAAATTTCATCACAGAAATAAATCTAGAAAGGTTATGAATCTCCTGATTTGGATATCGACCATTTATTATTCCTGATAGATAAAAGAGCTTTGCCCCCTGATAAATCTCGGTCCAAAAACGATGTTTTAATCGTTTCTTGGTGACCTTGAGCGTTTTGTTGTTTTTGAATTTGTCAAGATGTGTAAGTACGCCCATAATTTTCGGAAATCCATGAACTTGTAAAATATTAAGGAATTCAAATGTTTCCTAAATAAATATAATAAAAAAAAAATTTTAAAAAAAAAAAAAAAATCTACCAAATCAAGTATTCACGAATAAACCATTTACCATTTCAAATCCAAAACTCGCGTCAATCAAAAGTAACACCAAATCAGCTACTTTGGCGATATCTATCATGCAATTCATATCGTTTGCACTCTCTATAAAAGTCAATCTTCTCTTTTTACCTGAAAGTGATCAAAAGAAAATGTGTTAAAGGAATGGACAATTAAAACTGCATGCACCACATAATCGTCATTTTAAGGTTAAACAGACGATCTAAATCTTACCACTAATGACAGTAACGGGTCCCTTTGTTTCTGTAAGATTATGTTTAGTATATCGTTTTACCAAGGATCTTATCAGCGTCGTCTTGCCAGTCTACGAGTCATTATAATAACGATCAGTTATATAAGGTCATTTCACGGAACAAAGAATTTTGGATCCTTAGACATACCTGAGGCGGGCCAACTACCGCGACCACTACTGGTGGTGGTTCGACAGGCGTCCGATCTACTAACGGTACATGAAGTTTATTTTGTATTAATTCTTGTTTACGCCTGGCGAGTTTGTCCGCTTTTCTTCCAGATAGAGGAGCAAAAGCCTATATTCAAAGTAAATTTATTAGTAAATTGGATTTGTTTTTTTTTTTTTTTTTTTTTTTTCTTTTATCTTTAGTAAAAATAATTTCAAACCTTTGGATTCTTTTCCTCTTGTTTTTTTTGTTTTTTTGCCTTTTTATCCTTCTTGACGCCGGATTGACGAGGTCGATGAGCTTTATGTTCTTTTGCATCCATATTTTTTCGAAGTTAAAAGATTATCGGTCGATACTCCAATATCACGGAACGGTGACACAAATTGTAATATGCCGGAATTTTTCACGCTTTTGGGCATATAAAAAATTCAGCCAAAAAAGTATTTTGTGCTACATCGATCTCGTGCATTTAGAGAAGGTAAAGTTTATTAAGAGTTACTTACTGTATATACTAGGCGAAAGACAGTCTTATTTTTAGGGAGAAACTCTTGGGATCAAGTATTATTACATAGATAAAAAAAGGTTATTTTTAATTTTTATTTTAAAAGAAAAAAGATTTATTTTTAATTTTTATTCTAAATGTATTATTTTTTGAATTTAATTAAAAAATATAGTTAATTACTCGATCTCTTTATTAGATGTCATAAAGAATAGTTACATAACAATGATTTATAGAAATATGATTTTTCAACGGACATCCTTTTTACCTTGCCAATTGAATAAAGAATTTCGAGTCGAATAGGCGATTACAAGGCTTTTTCGTCAGAGATGGATCCCGATTGACCTAATTTGCATAACCATCTGCGCCAATAGGTTGCGCATTGAAATCTTGTTCTGGTGCCCACATCATGGGCCACCTCATTCCATCTTCTCCCACGAACCGAAATTGATTCTTTGATTAGTCTTATTTCTTCTTGAGACCATCGACCAAAGTTCATATTTGGATCGGTTTTGGAATGTGTACTGTGATAACTTTTGACTTCTACTAAAGTTTTGTCTGGAAATTTTTCCATGATCTTCGTCCAATTGTATCCATGTTCCTTTATGGACTCGTATAACTTGAGTTTGTCCTTTTCTGACCAAGATATTATATTATAGCGCTTTGAGACAACATAAAAGGGCCTCTTAAGAATGCTACTTATTTTACTCCATTTTTTGCCATATTTATCAACTAACTCAAGCAAATGATTATCCTCTTCGGAACTCCATGGTCCACGTTTTGGCTTGGATATCGCTTCCCATCTCAGCATAGCTTGTTGTTGACTTTTATTCGGCAAGTGTCGACTTATTATTGTCCACCTACCAACTCCGTATCTTTCGACACATTCTTTTAATATTTCGTCTTCTTCGGACTTCCAGCGAACATTATTCAGGAGATTCCTCGATTCTTGCGGTGATGGCGTTCCTTCTTTGCTTTCTTGTTGTAATTCATCTGATCGTTTATTTGAGACAGTATGTAATCGCTTTGAGGAGGTAAAATAATAGTAATTCGATATACCTAAGTATGGGCCAATCAAAAGGGTTTTTTCATCAATCTTACCAACAATAGTGGTAATTTTAGAAAAAGAAATGCGCATAATGGTAGGATATTGATCGTCAAAAAGTGCTTGCGTTTTTTTTTTTTTAACCCGTAATCACATGACAGCTAACTAGTCATTATACTGTATATTAAAAAATGTTTTAATTATGAATAGCCCTATTATAAAAAAGTAAACAATAAATATAAAATTATCAATCTTATTCCAGTAACCTAATATGAAAAAAAAATTTTTATTAAAATAATAAATAATAAACTATTTATTTTAGTAAACTAACAGTAAGAAAATCAAATATATATTATATATATACAATATCAAATATTAACATGTGATAAGTATGAAAAAATAATTAAACACTTATTAAACTATTCAATTTATAAAAATACAATATATTAATAGAAATATAAGATAAAGAAATTAAAGTCATTTTTAAAGGCTTTAATAAATTATTATAAAAAAAAGTAAAAAAAAAAAAAAATACAACTAATAATAAATAATAATAATAAATTAAATAAATTAATAAATAAATAGTTCAAATAATAGAATAAATTTTAAAGTTTAATAAATATATATTAGTTGCCTTAAAAAGTTATTAACAAAGATCTAATTATGTTAATTTCTATGTGATCAAAAGATTGTTTAACAAATATAAAGTAAAGTTTCTTATATAATATAGAGGCTCCTTATTACTGGCAAGTATTATAACTTTTGATATATTTAACAATAGTTTTATATTAATTAGATTATAATATTGATTTCTTGCTTGATTATAAATTGTTTCAATTTCAAAATATCTAATAAAAATATTTTTATAAAAGTTATATAAAATTGATTCCAATTTAGTTGCCTTAATAACTTTAAGTAGTTCTATTGGGTTTTTAGTATTGTGTCAAAATAGTGTTTATTATTAGATAAGATAATATGATGCTTGTTTTTTGAAAAAGATTATTTTTTTTTATTATTAAGTTCAAAAATAATTTTTCAGTAAAGAGGTATATATACAATTACTAATAGGTTTTTAAATTCATAGTTAAGATTAAAGATAGATTCTTAAAGAAAAAGGTAGGGACAAAAATCAAATGCCCCTTACTAGAAAATATTAAAATTTTTAAATAAATAGCTATAAAAAAACTATCCATAATTATTCTTTATTATTTAAATAATTGATTTATAGTATTTTTTAACTTTTGTCTCTATTAAAATAAGAAGCTATAAATTTTGTTCCTTAAAAAAGAACATAAGTAATTTGCAAAATTTTATATGCTAAATATTTTAAGGATTCATCATTAGTTAAGATACTAAAGTTAAAGAGAATCTTAATAATATATTAAAATTTTGATACTTCTTGACTTTTCAATATTGAGTTTTGAAGGAATAATTTATAATTGTAAATATTTATCATATATCATATATTTATTTTCTTATTTATTCAATTGAGTTAAAACAGCTTTCAATTCTTTATAAAATACATCAATATACAAGAAAAAAAGCTTGAAGAAATCTATATAGGTCAAGATTAATATGATAGTTAATTTTTCCTTAAGTTCCTTAAATACTAATTGATATTTTTTATTTCAAAGATATAATGTATTTTTCCTTAAGAGTTTGTTCATTAATTTAGCTATAGTGGCAAAACTTGATATGAAGTGATAATAATAAAATACTAGTCCAATAAATCTTCTTATTTTGATAATATTGATTAATATGGCAAAGTTTTTTACCTTTTTCACTTTAACTGAATTTGATTGAATTTTATATTAATTGATAATGTATTTAAAAATATAAGTTTCTTTTTGCAAAAATGACATTTTTCAAATTAAACTTAAGAATAGTTTGTCTAACCTTTTCAAAAACTTTTATTAAGTGTTATAAGTATTTCTCAAATTTGATAGAGTATATATTGATATTATCTAAGTACACTAATATATATTTTTCCTTAATATCATAGATGATATAATCCATAAGTTGTTGAAAAGTGACTGATGCATTAATTAATTCAAAAGGCATAATATTGAATTCAAAAATCACTTGTTTAATAATAAAAGTAATTTTTTTCATATTTGTTAAATTTGACAATATCCACTAACCATATTCAAAAAAATAAACCATTTGATCTTTTCTAGTAAGTCAAGAATTTTATCAATTCTAATAGTAGATAAGCATCCTTTTTGTAACTTTGTTAAGTTTCCAATAGTTAATACAGAATCTTGTTTGATTATTTTTTTTTTTAACTAATATAATTAAAGAAGTTCAAGAACTATAAAATATTTAAATAATTTTTTAAGTTAATATATATTTAATTTTCTTTTTTACAAATTTTTGTTCAACAGAAAATATTCTATAAAGTCACTGTTTAATTAGTAGGATGTTTTCAATAATAATATGATAAGTAACCAAGTCAATATATTCAGCAGGTAAGTTATTAGTTGTAATTATGCTTTGATATTATTTTATCAAATAATTGAATTGATTTTATTGTTCCTTGAATTAAATTAGGTAATTTATCTGACTTATTTTTGTAAACCACATTCAAATATTAAATAAATTTTTAATTCTTAGCTTTAAATTGATAAGTGATATAAATATCAGATTTCTACTTCAAGTAATAATCATATCAATAGATTGTTTTTAATTCTTTCTATTCTTTTTGTAGAGGTTTAAAAGTTAAAAGTGACTATTGCATAGTTTCAAGTTCCTGGATATAGATTATTTGTTCTTTATACTATCCAATAGTGACTGTTAATTTATTCATTTTTATCAAAGATTGTTTATTAGAGTTTTTTAAGAATCATAGTAAGTTTGATCCTTATCCAAAGTTTTCTCATATTTCAATTCATCAATTAAATTTTATATACAAACTATTTTACTTAAAAACTTGACTTCTGGTCATTAAGAAAAGTTAAGTAACATCTTTGATATTAATGACAAAAAATTTTTAAAGAAAAAAAAATCAACTATAAAGATTTGAAAATTTTTTCAATCTTTAAAGTGAAAAGTTATAAAGATTTTATTATAATAAAAAAGCATATTTTCTTCCTTTCTGATTATTTGAATCCTTTTAAAACTTTTATTTTATAGTTTTCTAAAGAATTTTATTTATCTCAATTTGATACTGAATTTTAAGTAACATAAATTCTCAAAAAAACAATTGACTACTATGAAACATATTGGTTTATGAAATATAAACAAGTTTTCATTAATTATATTCATATATCTCAAAAATATTATTGATAATTAAAAAAATATTTAAAAAATATTTGTCTTATAAAAACTTAAGTTTCTTAAAAAGATATCTATAATATTAAAGAATTAAGGGATAAGTAATATAAATTATAAATTCTTATCTTTTTTTAAAAATTTCAGATAGTAACAAAACTTTAATAAACAAAAGCTAAGATCTAAATGTTTTTCTTGAGATATTTTAACTTGATACTTATTTAAATAAAAAACTAGTTGGATTAACTCATCTGATATCATAGATAATAATCAAGAAGATTTTTTTGAGGTTTAAATAAAGCAAAAAAATTATTTTAATTAGGTAGATGTCTTTTGAGAGAGAAATTGATTTTTTTTTTTTAATTTTTTAATAGATCATAAATAGTTTTCCTTTTTTAATTTCTAATTTTTTTTTTTTCTTTTAACTTAATAATTTATAATTTATAGTAATCTATAGTAACAAATTGTTAACTATAAATCTAGTAGATGGAGATTTTTTATCAATTCTTTAGAAAAATAAAATATTATCTCTTATATCTGATTTAGAGTTTTTAGTATAATAAAGAGTTAGTTATTATATGAAAAATCTATAATATTATAGATAATTATATAATTTATCCATAAAGATTTAAGTCATATTATATAATTATGTTATAAATTAAAAAAAAAAAAAAAAAAAAAAATCAATAGATTGTAAATAAAAAAATAAATGTAATAAAGACTTTTACAAATTATTTTAAGAATAATAATAAGATTTTATTAATCTAAAAATTCAAATAAATTTTAATAAATATCCTTTGTATAAGATTAAAAAATTATTGAAAAAATTTTTATAAATTGTATTTTTATTATTAAATATATATTTTAAACTTTTATATAAATATTATAATTAAAAAAAACAATAATCCAATATTATAAAAGAAGAATAAAACCTTAAACAAAAAAATAAATTTTAAAAATATAAAAGAAAATCTTTGATTACTTTTGAAAAAGATATAGAATTAAAAGATATAGTATATAAGAATATTATCAAATAAAAGAAAATTCAATAAATTCAATAAAAAAATAAAATAAAAAAGTTGAAATTATCTATTTTAACAATACATACAGTATTAATATATAATATTATAAAAAAAAAAAGAATAGAAAATAAAATCATGAAAACATTGATAGGATAAATTAAAAATGATATGAAATGATTGATTTTGATTCTTGTTAAAACTCAATAAAATAATTTATAGTAATAAATTATAGATAATAGTATTAGTAATTGACAGAGTCATTTTTAATTGAAACGATTAAATTAATTAAAAAGATTTAACTTTAACAATCAATGAAAAATGTATAATTTAATAAAACATAACTAATCTGACAGAGAATTAATATTAAGTGATAAATACCGTATTTATATATTTAAATGCATATTCATATTTATCCTGAATATTTAGGCTTCAACAGTTACTGTAATACAATCTCGAACTAAATGCCATATCTAAGATTTTAGCCTACATTTCTTTTTACCGAGTCTTTCTAAGCCAGTTTGCAATCCATTAAAGTATACGACGGTTTTTTTGGATTTGATGTTAAAAATCTTATTGACACATTCTTGTGTCACTAGTACGATTTGATTTGGAAAATGGTTCTATTAATGCGAAAGATGTTCAGGTTTCGTTTCGTTATCTTGATTCAAGAAATCATTAGAGAACAGAGATTATACGAGTTATAAGTCTTCGATATATCAAAATAAAAATAAAAATATAATGAAGTGACCGAACAAAGATGGTACAAAAAGAATAATTATAAACCGAATAATCATATTACTATGTTTATTATAGAAACTGCAATATCTTTATTAAAGAATATATGTTATAGTAATAAGCAAACCTATAAAATTTTTTCCTTATGATATTCAGTGAAAAGAATTTTTAACTACCTATTCTTTTTCCTTCATCCTTAATACCCATCCAACTCTTCAGCGAAAAGAGCCAAAGGAACCAGTCGCTCACTGGTACTCTAGTTATTCTATCAATAAACTGGATTTTGTTGGCTATCTGGACAAACATATTTTCCGCATACCACCCAAACATATAATAAACATGACCCATCGGCGGAAGCTGATCAATCTCACCCACGTACAAACCGTTGGCGAAAAGCTCCGGAGGTAATCCACGACGAACAGGAGTGAGTTGTTTTTCACTGTACGCAGGTAAACTTGACCTATCCCGAGATACAACCAGATTGTTCCCTGATAGAAGATCGCCTTTAGTTGGGTTTTCAAGTTGAAATCCGTCGATTTCTTTAAATTTTTCAAAAAAATTCCATGCAGGAGAAATGTTGGGATCTACAAGAAGAACAGATAAGAACACCATCCAAGTAAATTACAGCGTAATAAAAACAAATAACCTCCAATCGGTCGATCCCATTCAGATTCGTATTCCTTTTTTTCCTGTTCACCCCAAGAATCTTTTTGCTCATCTTTTTCTCTTCTCTCGTTTTCAGAAAATTTCTCAGTTGTCACAACGTCTTGGATGGTTGATCCTTCACTTTCTTCGGTATCTTCGGAATTCCCGACAGTTGAACCTCCACTTTTATCGATATCCATTTGACTTTTAAAGTCGCCGCCCGTAGCAGAAGTATCACTCTCGTGTTCTTCAACTGCGTCAAAATTTTTTTTCTCAGACCCTTCCCCTAAATCGGAACTGCTAAAATGTTCACTGGTATGTGAATTATTATCATTTACAGAATTTACGTCAGGTTCTTCTGCTTCTTTCTCCACGGAATTATTGTTAATGTCATATTTGGGATTCATTTCACCATTAGGTTGGTTTGAATCTTCTTTCACAACATCATCTTTAACTTCAAAGTCGTGCTTCACTTCGCTATCATGTTCATTTAATACGGCATGGTTATATTTGTTAGAGTCTCCATTTACTTTACTTTTATTATCATCTGATTCATCATCAGAAGCTTCGTCCGATTCATGCGAATCTTCAACGTCTTCCTCGGCATTTTCATAATCCGTATCGGCTGCGCGTGAGATAAGATGAATTACGCAATGATCTTCAAAAAACTTATGAAATTCGTGTACGAAGAAATAAAATATAAATGTTCTTACGATGCTCGCCCTCACTTTGTTTTGATGCGTCGCTAATTGTGACTTCCGAATTTTTTTTACCCTTCTTTGGGTTCAATTTTCCTTTAATAATATTCTTCATAAGTTTCATGTCCTTGATAGAACGAGGGTTGAATTTATTTGGTTTTTTTTTCTTATACGGATTAACAAAATAAAAATTTAATCTATGATTGGAAGTTTTTTTTTAATATGACATGAACGATTACATAAATAAACTTTTTTAATTTATCATTCAGAAAATGATTGCATCCGAGGAGCAAAAAAGAGGTTGCGAAATTTGATTTCTTTTTATCAGAAAAAAAAAAAAAACTCTTTCCCTATTTATATCAATTAATTCTCAACAAACTCTTTTAACTTTAATAGACGGAGACAAGAGTTATTTCATCATTCCTGAATAAATTACGGAATATGAGCATGTGATATTAATATTTTGATGGTTAGGCGATGAAGTCATTACGCAATTACGAGAGAAAAAAATATGATCAAAAAAAATTTATGTTTCGAATTAATTTGTTTTTTTAATGACGCAGAATCCAAACATTTGCCAAAATAAATAATGATAGTTTTTCTTAATCATCATTTGATATTTTCGATTTTCATATAAATTAATTCGGCATAATACATCATTTATAGTATAATTATATATTATATACTGTATATATTTTTTGGATTTGAATAATAAGTTAATCTGCTTTATTTAAGGATTTTTTCTATAATATAAAAGTTAACTAAAAAAATAATTGTTGATTGTATAATAAATAGAAATTTTTATTTAAGATTATATTTTAATCATTAATAAAAAATTAAATTTTTAATACTTTGACTTGTAATTATTTAAAGATTATATAAAATAATAAAATTTACAATTTGTTTAACAATAAATAAATAAATATATATTTTTGAATTATTTACAATCAGATTAAATAGTTTATTTATTAATCTAAAGAATATAAAAATATATATTTATTCAAGCAATATAATATATACTATAGTTGAATATCATATTAAGTCTAATTAATTTATTAAAGATATTAAAAGTTCTAAGTTTGATTATAAAAATAATATTTTATTTCATAATAAATTTTGAGTAAATATTCTTTTAGTTTATATATTATGATCAATAAGTTGTTATATCATATATTTTATCAAGTTATTTGAATATAAAAAACTATAAAAAAGAAATAAATTAAAAAAAAAAAGAAGATATATTTAAAAAAATACAAATATATAAAATAAGAAATCAAAAAAAAAATAATGATAATAGAAAAAATATTTCAAATTTTTTTCAGAAATCTATTTTTTAAAACTTTTTTTAATAAAAAATATTTTATTAGAATATTTTTTTATCTTTACTATTTAAAAAACTTATTATCATAATTTTTTTAAATTAAATAAATAACCAGTGGATTTATAGTTAAAGATGAGTCTCTAAAGGGGGAGATAAGAACAAAAGTCAAATGTCCTTCATTAGAAAACATTAAAAATTTTAAATTAATAATTATAAAAAATTACACACAATTGTTTGTTATTATTCAAATTATTGATTTATAATATTTCTCAACTTTTGTCCCTATTAAAGTGAAGAGTTATAAATTTTGTCTCTCAAAAAAGAAACATAAGTAATCTGTAAAATTTTATATACTAAATACTTTAAAGACCTATTATTATCTATAGTACAAATAATAATGCTTCCAGATCACAATCACAAGGTCTAAAGTTCAATACTATATGAGAGCCAAGTGAAAATATCATATTATAATGAATTCAGTATTTCATTGGATAATAATAAAATGTTATTGGACGTAAACCTGGTTATATTATCAATAATTAAAATAGAAAAATCTACTATTATATGATATTATATGTAGCTAATCTTTACCAGATCAGGTTGATCTATGGATATTATGGGATAATCAGTATTTTATCAGTATTTTGATAAGATAAAGGTAAATAAAATTAATTTTATAGTTAATTAGAATGAAGATTTGATTGGTACCAAATATTTTAATGATTTTATTAATAGTAAAAAATTGTCATAAGTTAGGATGTTAAAGTTTTGAAGAATAAATATTATATCAGTAAGATACTTAAAAATATAGCTAGTTACTGTGACTTATTATTGGAAGATCTTTGTGAGAAAAGAAATCTATGAACTATACTGAAGTTTCAAATTCAGGGATATATTAGAGCAAATGCAATAGTTTTATAATTAGATTATTTTATAAAATTATTCTAAAAAAATTAAAAGAGTATGTAATATATTTACTATATATAAAAATTATTATATATATAATATTATTTTTAAGTAAACAAAAATCATAGGTATTTGTTAAATAACAAAGTTATAGCTTATTAATGGACTAAACAAAACAGGATTTCAAACAAATGGAACCAACAGATTTGAGACCAATATAACTATACATGAAATTTGATATGGGAAAGAATAAAGAATGGTCACACTTGGAACACTTCATTTAAAGATGCTCAAGAAAGAAGCTTTCTTATCAAACTAATTAATGAAGAGTTACCAATGCTTCCCAAATTGATTATAAGAAGACCAGACTTATATAAACAAGTAGAGTGTATAGCATGCAAACAGCAAGCAGAAACAATAGAACATCTACTAGAATGTCTAGCATATAAAACCCAATGGCAAGAAATTTGGAACAAAGGAGTTGAAGGCATTCTAAAAGACTTTCGAAAACTTCTGCATGAGAGAAGAAAAGAGATGGAAGAGATGGAAATAAAGCTTCTAGTTGAAGACAGAGTAGAATTAGGAGAATTGAACAAATGTATAGCCAGCCTTATAGAAAAGACTGACGAAACAGATCAAAATATGCTAAACTTCTGTATGGGACTAATACGAAATGATCAAATATTGAAAATATCAAATCTAAGATGTTGCCAGAAAAGAATAGGTAAAAAAAGCCCGTAAGTGAATAGTGAAGATGCAGAAGAAGATTTGCAATCAATTTTGAAAGAAGATTTGAAATGAAAGGTGCTTAAGAATGATCGAGTGGGAACAAGCATAAGGAATCCATAGAGAAAATAAAATAAGAAGGTCACCCAGTTCGTTAAATCAGAACAACAAGACCATAACTATGAAAAGGTCCATATTGGAAGAAAAAAAACTTGAAGATAAAGGTCTCGAACAAATCTTTCTAGAAGGAGTAAAGTATGAAATAAGATGGTTAGGATTTTAACTTCTATCAGAACTCATAAGGAGGATCTGTAGTAGTGAACTATAGGCAATAAAATTAGTAGTTGGAAGGATTTTCACCTAAGCTATTAATGGAGTGATAAATCACGTTCGAAGTTGCACTTAGAGTGGTAATAATCAAGACAAGTGAGCTAATTAAAGATTTAGCTTTAATGATTCATTTTACATGTATAGTATACTAATGTTTAATAAAGTATATATAATTAGCCTGATAGAGGGTAAAAAAAAAAATAAAAATAAATAATCCAAGTACTTATTTAAAAAAATTTATAAATAAATAAAAAAAAAATAATAATAACTTTTAAAAATAAACTTTAAATTGTTTTAAATAAAATATAAAAAATTTATTAATTAAAAAATATAAAAACTTCTTATAAATATCTTTTATATATAGACCTGTGGATCTATAGCACAGTGGTAGTGCTCTGAGATCACAATCACAAGGTTCAGAGTTCAATACCACACAAGGGCCAAGTGAAATTTTGCCATTGGTGACACAAAGATCTCATCTACTCCATGGTAACAATCCAGTACCTCAGCATGACTATAACAAGGAATTGATCACTTATTATGTCCATAACAAGACAGAAAATCAGCTCGATGCATAAGCTGACCATCAAAACAGGTTCTAAACAAGGCAAGACTAAGTGGTACGACATCCTTAATCAAGACCAATCTCCTATCTAAGTGGCAAAGTTGGATAGTAAAATGTTCCAGTGTTTAAGAAAATACAAGACAGGTTCTCTAAAGAGGCAAAGATGGGTTGTTACAAGAAGACAAGGTAATAACAAAACAAGACAGGTTTTCCATAAAAATGTACATACTAACAGAAGTCATAAAGATCCTGTATAAGAGACCTCTGATACCAGTGGTACTAGGTATTTTAGGCAAGTTCTTGACACATTAGCCTTCCTTCACAGGAATAGCAATAGGTTGTCTGATGAACTATAGTTTTAGGGAGTGTCACTTTAGTTGGACGAGTAATACAAACATAGTTTAAAACTGGTTAGTATCCCATTAAATTGATAGGTTAAAACACCCCCCAGTATCTCTGACTTTGTTAAAAATTAAGAAAAATCCTACACTAAATGGTCACATAGTTCCCCTATCCTGGTTGGGTGAGACATAAATAGATGCCCCTTGTACTATTCGTTAATCTGTAAATCCTTAGACAGTATAGATAATTACTCATTCCGGTTGTTCCTAGGATCTATCTTAATAATTAATAAAAGTTCTGATGCTGGCACAGAAATGAGCTAGCATATTAAAAAAAAAAAAATTTTTTTTTACTGTATATATATTATTAAAAAAAGTTTTTTTATTTTTAAATCTTTAATTATACAATCAAAAATTATAAAATTTATTTATTTTTTTTTTTTAACTGGGTGGTTTACATCTTGTTTATTAGATATTGCTGTGAGTATGTATAAATTTATTTTATACAAATTTAACTCTCTAGCTACCTAATTAAACTCACTAAGGATAGTCCTACCATGTGGCTTATTGCCAAGTACTGGTATATACTTGACTAATCTGTCAAGGCTCTACTTGTCCCATAAAAATTTGTTTTGAAGGAATATATTATGTTCCAGTTGATCCAGTGTTAACTAGAGTGTTTTATAATTTCATTGATTCCTGGAATGTATGACTTGTGCATGGTAGTTCTTCTTTCTAGTGTTTTCCATTTTTTTTTTGTCTTTTTTGGTTATGTTTTGATTCGTTTCCCATTGTGAAAAGAGCTGGCATCTCAGTTGCCATTTGTCTTGAAGAATGGTTAAGAATTTGTCTATGATATTTTTGAGGATTTCTTTTTGGTTTTCTGTTGTTGTGTATTCCTTTATAATTTTTAAGAGATCTTTTATAATTGCCCC